ATGAGGAGGTTGAGGAAGAGGAGGCTGGTGATGGGGTCGGCTGTTTGTGGGCAGCTGAAGGCGCTGGTTGTCGGATTTTTGTGGAAGAGGAGAAGGATGGGGATGAGCTTATGGTGACTGAGAAGAGAAGAGAGAAAATATTGGCCTAGGGTTTCACACCCACGACCTAGGTTTCACACCAAAAGTCAGCTAACAATATTTCATTTCATCCTTCAATAATTCCAATCTGATTACAAGAGTTCTTAAATAAGAAAATTACAGAATTGGAAAATTCTCTAAATCCCTCAAATCTCTCTCATAATCAAATACAATCATTAACTAATTAGCTACCAAATAAAATCAAAAATCAAAATTCGAAATTCGAAATTCAAATTTAAAAATTCGAAATTCAAAAATTAAAAACTAAGCTAATATGGAAAAAATTTCAATTCTTGTTCTCATCAGGCTTCCTCATACATACTCCTGTATTTGGTCCGCATATAGGACTGTAAATCTCCTTGTTTTGGTTGGGAAGAGGACGACTTTGATTCAGAACCTAATAATTTTGGTAATCCAAACATTTGGTTCCAGGTGCCTTCAATTATGAGCATAGGGAAACCTAAGTGGGTATAAGCTGCATAAGCAGGTCACTTGATTTTGGTTTCGGTGGTGCCTGCAATTAAGTGCAAAGGAAACCTAAGTCGCTATGAGCCGCTTAAGCAAGTATTTTCCTGTCAAAATTGGTATGCAACTCGCTTAAGCATATTAACGGGTGGGAAAAAATGGATCGAGTAGAGTGAGAACCCGAAATCTAAATCCAAGCTAAAAAATATGAAGGTTAGCGTTTAATGCATCTCCTCTCAGTCTTTATCCTTATCGCTGTACTCATTGCTCCTATCAATAATGTAATTACTAGATTTTGGTTGGTTATTGCATTGAAGACAGAGTACCAATTCCCTGCACTTTCTGCCATCAACTGGAATCCTTCGGATCTCATCCCCTCTCAAATAAGAAGCGAAAGTGACCATATAATATTAGCCATATTAGCCCCAGATAATGGCTTGTACCACCAATTAAACTGAATTTAATATGCTTATAGATCTTCTAAACACACACTCTTTGAGTACGAGGCTGAATGTTTAAAAAATGGAAAAATCACATCATTGCATGAGGTGTTTGCGTTATAGTTCAATCCTTATACTATTATACTAGTCACATAACAATCACTTCTACTGTTCTACACTATTTAAACTACTCTTGCATCTCCAGATTGCCTCTGCGGCTCTGAAGGCGAAGATACTTGGGTGGTTGGCAAACACGTGAATACTATTGGTAGTGGGTAAACTGGCAAAGCTCAAGTTTTCATGCACTGATTTGACCCTCTACAGCATGGTGCCTGGGGTCAACTACCACACATTCCTCCAGTTTTCTTTCATAACAAATGTTCATCTGCACCACTCACAATCATGACCACAAACCTTTGAGATTCTTGGCATAGTCAACACATTACATATTGTCTTCAACTCTTGGGATAATATGGTGTTGCCAGTCTAACTGAAACACTTAGGAGGAGCAGGACAATTATTTGTTCTGTACCAAGAATTGCTATCCAGAGGACCTACAGCATATGCCAAAAACTTCACTGTATTTTCGTTAGAGCATATCCCAGCCCTCTGCTGGCTGACAATGCTTAGCATTGGATCAGGGTCATGGTGTTAGATTTCATATAATTTCATTCTCAA